ATTTAACAATCATTCTAATTATGATAAATGTAAATTACCATTATAGTAGAATTCACAATATTTCTAGTTTATTTGATAATGTTTTTTATGATTGCAAATGTAAATTATAGTTGTCTATTATTAGTTTATTTGATGATTGTTGTTATTGTTACAAATAAAAATTTTGACTGTCCACTACATTTGAATCTGCCACATTTTTGATTTATTTAACGATCGTTTTAATTATTGTAAATTAAATTGCTGTTGTAGTAGAATTTGCCATATTTTTAGGATATTTGACAATTTTTTTTAGCTGCAAATGTAAAATTGTGGTTGTCTATTTTTGATTTATTTGACGATTATTATTATTGCAAAAAAATTGTAACTGTCTGCTACATTAGAACCTGCCATATTTTTGATTATTTGATGATTTTTCTAATTGTTGTGAATATAAATTGCTATTGTAGCAGATTTTTGAGTTATTTGATAATTGTTCTTTGTGATTGCGAATGTAAAATTATGGCATTCCATTTTGATGATAGTTTTTATTATAAAATTGTGGTTATTCTATTATATCAGAATCTACTGCTATTAATTTTGATAAATTACAGCTATCTGCTACATCAGAATCTGCCACGTTTTAATATATTTTATATTAATTTACTATTAATTTTTTTTCTTAGTAATAATTGTTAGTTACCATTTCCTATATAAATATATCTTAAGAAATCATTTAAATCCATTCCCAAAAAAATACCTTTTCTTTAATTTGTCTATACATCAATATTTTTTCTTTTTTTATTATCTTATAATTATGTCACATTCTGAAAAAAGAACTGATATTTAATTAATATTTATATTTTAAAAGCGGGATTTTATTAATTCCATTTTTATCATTTATAAAGATTGCTCAAGAAAATCATTAGAAAATTTAATAAATCAAAATTTGAAAATCATAATAAAGCTCGATTCATTAATTTTTGATCAAAAAGCTCTTAAAAATTGTGTTTCAAAAATTGAAAATTTATTACAATAAGATAATGGTAGTAAAGGTAATAAAAAGATGAAAAGAAAAGTTCTTAAATATATATATTTACATATGAATTAATTTTAAAATTAACATATTCATATTATAAATTTATACTAACTATTTTAATTGTTAAATTTCTTAACTTATTATTTCAAATATTGCAATAATCCCTCTAAATATGATGATATATCTAACATTAAATGAATATAAAAAAGTGACTGAAAAGTTTTTGCTTGAAGAATATGAGGAATATTTTAGGAAATATAATAGAAAGAATAAATGGATTATTTATTATAAAGAAAAATTAGTCAGAAAGTAAGAAATGATTTAAATCATTTATTAATAATTATAATTCAATCTCATCATATTTTTTTTTTAATAGCTAATAAGTAAACATCAAAGCTTCTGTAGGATGTTAACGTCCAATATCAAAAGTGTATTATATTATATTTTTGAGTGTTATAAACTTCTCAAAATTAATGCCAATACAAAACTTTCACAAATCTAACAATAGAAAATTAATCCAATTATTAGTAAATGCTTTAATGACCTCTTTATAAATAAAAGTAAAGGATTATGTATATTTATGAATTAAATCATCAATAAGATATATTCTAACAAAAAAATATCTCTGATATTAAAATCACATTTGCAATTAGCATATGCGAGATATTTTTAGATCCTATTAACCAATATATAAAAATTTTGAAAAATATATGAAACAAAAAGTTTATACAAAATATAATAAGCTTATAATAAATAAACTTACATTTGCATAAAATTTAATGCAAATATTTAAATTTATTATTATTATTATATTATTTACTTAAAAGCTGCAAACCTAAAATTTTTACATTTTGATGAAAAAGATTATGATAATAATGATGATGATGATTTTAATAATGATTTTGATAGAGCAAAGATAGAAGGAAAAGAAAGAGAAGGAAGAATAAATAAAATGGTAGAAAGTGATAGAAAAAGTGATAATAATAACACCAGTGATAATTATTAAAAAAAATTGTAAATTAGCAATGTTTTCTTTTTTTTCTTTATATTTTATATTTTAATAAAAATTTTGTGATTTGTGTTAAAAAAAATATATATTATATTTATTAATTAAATGGTAATTTCAGAATTAAAATTGATCAATCAAAATTAACTTGATTATATGATATAAAAAAAATAAAAAAATAAACAAGATCTATTTTTTTTTGTTCCTTAACAAAAATTTTTTATGTAAATATTTATTGAAAATATTGTTCATTTATTAAAATATATAAAATATATTTTTTTCGTAAGTAGTCATAATTTTTCAGATTTTATAAATTGACCAATTAAAATTCGCTTGATCATATGAGAAAGTTTTCAGTAAAATCAAGTTATGCAACATAATAAATTATATGATCTGATGATAGGTTGATCTAAACAAATAGATTTGTTTTTACATTTTTATTATCAGAAAATAGTTAATATTTATAAATAATTATTATTTATTTTATTTTTTATTATTTGTAATTTTTTTATTTTTTTTCAAAAATATCTTTTTATCTTAATAAAATAATTTGTAGAGTCATATAGGAGGTGGTCAATAGAAAAGGAAGAAATCCAAATTTTGGTTAAAATTTATATTATTGGACCACTTGGCTGATTTCGATCATATGTACAAAATTAGCTTAATAATTAAAATTAATAAGAATTTTAGATTTTCCCCTTTTCTAATGACTGCCTCCTATATCTAAAAAAAATTAATAATATTAATTTGCTATAAAAATTTAAATAATTAAAGCTCATATATTTAATTAACATTAATATAAAATAAAATTTTAATTTGATTAAAATGTCTCAGAACTTCATTTTCTTAATTCATATCCTATATCTTATTATAAAATTATATATTATTATTATAAAAGATTTTTATTAATAGTGAAATGAATATAAAAATTTATCAATATATATAATTATTATTATATATAATAATAGTATATAGAAATCTAATTGTAATTATATAATAATTAAAATATAAATTAATCTTTATTTAATATTAAAAAATTTTTTTATTATAAAATAATAAATTAATACTTATAAAATAATAAAAAGATAAAATAACTTATAATTTTAATATTTTTTTATTATTATTTATTATTTTATTAATTTATATAATAGATTTGTTTTATTTAATAAACAAAATTAATAAAAATAATTATAAGATAATTTAGTTTTAATTTATTAAAATTTTATATAATAATATATTAAAATAAAACCTTATATTTTTTATTTATTATAATAAATAGGATAAATATTTAAAAAAATAATCAATTTGAAATTTTTTCAAAAATTTATTCCTAAATAAATTAGATATAACTTTTATTATTTGATTCAATCTTTATAAAAATTTATTATAATGGTTATTTTTTTCAGTATTTATTCCAAATAAATTATAAATATTATTAAAATTTTAAAGTAAATAATAATATAAATAATAAAAAATAAAGTTTTTTTATAATGTATTTAATTTATAATTTTCCTCATATTTAAAATTTGTTAATTAATAATAAAGTTTATCAATAAAGCATACTAATTTACTTAGTTATTTAATATATTAAATAATACATTTTCTATTAACAAAACTTTATATGTTATACTTTATTATTTATAAAGTAAATATCTTATAATGGTAAGAATTTCATTATATAATAATATTATTTAAATTTTTGGTTTTTTTATCAAATATTATTGAAAATTAACCTTTCTAAGAATAAGATGGTATTTATTATAAAATTTACATAAGTTATTATTTTTAAATAAAACGTATTTTAGCATTTATATAGAACTTTCTTTATTAAAAAATTTATAACTTTTGATTTTAAATTAACACAAAAGATAATAATTAACAAGTAAAATTCTAGACAAATTTGAAAGAAAAACCATAAAGGGATAGATAGGTAAAGAAAAAAGAAGCTTTTCTTTACAAGATTTGTTCTTAAAATCTAAGTATTTGGTAAATAAATTAAAAGAAAATATTATTTTGGGATAGTTGAATCATTAAAAATAAAAAAGAATATTAAAAGATAGTCAATCTATTTTTTTGAGATAAAAGAATATCATCATAGATTGTTAAATTGATTAAAAGCAATTGTCAGCTTTAAAAAGAAGCACTTTAAAATTAGTAAACAACATGAAATTAGAAAATGACATCGCGTAAATTTGTGAAGACACTATTCAAATAGTTATATAATTTATTTGAAATTTTTTGCAATAAATCAATTTATATAACTTGTATGAGCCAAGTATGAGGGTTGCAGAAAATTAATCGTTTATTGTCGTGATATTGATTCTGGCGAAAAAATTTTTTAATTGTAAGGAGATCTTAGATGTATTAAAACATGAATTGCGTCATCTTAAATTCCAAATATCTATGAAGACATTATGATAAATCTTTCATTTAGCAAGATTCAATTTGCACAGGCATAAAAATGTAATAATTTGAAAAAAGGATTTTGACTTAATATTCGTAAATTACTAGTTAACCGTCGGGCTCCTAATTTTTAACTATATTTAAACTTTATCAAGATATTTTTATTGTGCTTTGATCGTTCAGTTGTTTGGAAGCCTAATTGATGAGTTTTTGACGTAATAAATCGTAATCATTTTATTAGTATTATATCAAATTTAATGATTATGCCGCAAGACAATTCGTTGATGTATTAAAATTTTCTTTAGCCATAAAATCTCGCGATTTCACTATTCTTATTTATTATAATTTTCCATTTTTTTTTTGACTCATAATCCAAAAAAAAAAATTATACTTTAAACTTTTTTTGATATGAAACAATAGTATAAAATATAATACATAATTTAATCGTTGATTTTTTTTTTCTTTTTTTTTAGGAATCGTTTCATCATTTATTTTCATTTCGCTACTAAATTTATTTGCTTTTTTCATTGATTCCTTTTATTTTAATTTAAAATATTCATTGTCATTAAAAGAAAAATGGAAACATATCATGGTTCGTTTTTTATTTTCGCGATTTCTTCTCTCTTAATACATTATCGTAATACGAAATTTATTATTTCCAGGAAGAATTGAAACGTTAAACGACGCGCTAATTATATTTGGTAAACTTTCATATAATTACTATGAAAATTTGCAATTTAATTACATAAAATATTTATCTTTTTTCGAGTAGAAGCGTGTCAGCAAGGAATCCTTCAGAGAACCACACGTAGGTTGTTGGAAAAGGAAAGAGAAGAACTGTGTGGTGGAAACGTGTAAGTATTTAAATATTTATGGAAATTTATTATCTTTTATGGCATTTTAATTGAAAATTTCTTTCCTTTTTCTTAGATATGTATTCGATGAGACCGAATCAGGAATAAAAAGATGGACAGATGGAAGATTATGGAGTCCAAGTAGGATCATCAAGGATTTTCTAGTTTACCGTGAATTGGCAACACGTGATCGAAACATCAAACGTCATGAACCCTTAGATGAACTATTACAAAAACGAATTTCAGCCGAAGGACTCAAAGTTCATCAATGTAGCAAAGGATTGTTTTTATTGAGAAAAGATGGATTATTAAAGAAAACTATCAGTATCAAATTTAATGGGACGTATCAACATATGGTCATATATGAAGATGTTATCAAAAAAAATTCTTCGGCCGAACCATTATTACCTCCTCGGGCATTTGAAGAACTTCGATATCTTCAACTTGGGGAAGATATTTTAAATTCAGAGAAGATGCCAAAGGCAAATAGAAATTATTCGAGAAAAAGTCAAAAAAAGTGGAAGGAACATCATCAGACGCATCGTTTATTGAAACAGTTAGTATTTGCACAAACAGATCAACAACGACAACAAAATTATCAACTTTATTATCAAACTGGTATTATTGGAGGTAATTCACTCATAGGAGGCGTTTTAAGTCCAGATCAAACATATTTATGGAATAATTCACGTCAAATAGAAGGAAGCAATGGAAGAGGTGAAATGAGTAATAATTTTGCAATTAATGATCTTATATCATCTGAAATTTCACCATCCATTAGCAGTTTTGATCCATATGGTAATCATCAAGTATTAAATGCTCTCTCTTTTAATCGACTCAAATTTCAACCGCAAAACGCAACCACGGTAGACTTGACGAGCAATACTCCATTATTGTCTACTCCTTGGTCACCTAATCACCATTCTTATCCTTCAACATGTGGTTCACAATTTCAACAACAATCTTCCAATCTACAACTTTCTGTTAATAATAATATTATTAACGGTCTTTCAGTACAATTAATCGCTGCTTCTACTAATTCGAATAATTCTTTTAATAATCCTGCCATTACTACTAACACTAATAATATGATTGGAAATACTGAGGATAAAGATTCTATTAGTGATATTAGTGATTCTGATATGAAGGAGGATTATTGAATAAATTCAAATTATTATTTCTTAATTTTCTTAATATTATTTTTTTATGATAAATGAAATAAAATAAATAAAATAATAAAATAATAAAAAAAATTGATTTCGTAAAAACACGTGACAGTAATTATGTATAAAAAGTGGATTTTCAATCATATCTCAAATATTTCACCCTCTCGTCAAAAAAACTAGCACATATTAAACAAAATGGGAGAAATTTCAGTAACAGGTTATATTTTATAAATTCATTCTTACCATTACCATTTCTGTTTATAATCCTAATTTCGTTTCCAATTTTTTTTTTTTGATATAAAAAAAAATGAAAACATACTTAGCTAACATAAATGATATTCCAAACGAAAGAGTACTCGTAAGATATTTTAATTTTTTCGGATTTAATCCTTAATTGAAAATAATTAATTTCGTTATTATCAGCTACCGCCAGGATTCGCAAGTCCATTATCACGAGAAGATGTGGAACGAGAAATAGAAGAAAGATATTTAATACCTCATACTTCATTTCCTACTTCATGGTTATTTAAATGTCAACAGTTAATAATGATTTCATCTGCATTTATCCGCTACGAAATCAAGATATAAAATCCTTATTTATTTATTTATTTTATAAAGATTGTTGGAACGGGAGCCTGACTTTATGTCATTAACTGCAATGGAACCATCTAAATCACGAACTACCTTAGAAATTGTTCGAGATGGTCCTGATGGAAAGATTATCGGATATAAAGAAGTAATTTCTATTTAATTAGCTTAAAACTACCTATCCTTATTTTAAGAATATATATTGTTAAAGTAATAATAAGAGTATTATTTGATATCATAATTTGTTATGATAAAGATCGTAGTTGGTGAACCGAATTTGACTGCAAAAAACTCAACATCATTATTACGTGAACCAGGGGCCATAAACCACTTTGTCAAGGGAGCTTCTAGTCAATTTCCATTTGCTCCTGGTATGGAATTAAAAATGAACAATCATTTATATTATCCCGTTTAAATAAAAACGTTTATTCTTATTTATATTGATTAAATTATATTAGGTGGATTGGAATCCGAAGTAATGGTTGATACTGGAACCGTGATAAATATTAATGATAAAGAAGTTGCAAATATTTCATTGAATTTTGAAGACGGTTTGTTTATTTCAATTAACAAAAGAAGCCATAATATCATGTGCTTCTTCCAATTTTATTTTATTTTTTTTTTTTTAAAAAAAAAATAATGTTAAAATTAATTTAAATTCTTTACAAAGATGAAATATTATCAATACCTCCAGGCTTTGATCGTGGCTTGATATTTGAAGGTTCTATATCAATAATAATTATTAAAAAAAATTTGGTTATGAATAATTTCATAATTTTTCTTAATTACGAAACCTTTCCTTTCCTTACCTTACCTTGTATATTAATTGTAAATAGACGGACAAAATCGTCAAATTCGAGTTCCAAAAAATAAATTGACAAGTTTAAATATTACTGATATGATATCTAATGATGAAAATGAACTGGCTGAATTCCTTGAACCGTTGAATGAATCGGAATATATTCGAGGTGTTTTAAATAAAGAATCACAAGAGGTTACGGATAATATTTATGAAATATTTTTTTTTTTTTGGATTGTGACGAGTTCGAGCTAAATGTTAATCTTAAAATAATTTTATTATACGTTTTGGGCATGTTTCTTTACGGTAATAGAACATTGAAGTCGTAGAATTGGCAAAAGACGAAGAAACAAAAAAAGATATAACAGATGTAGAAGATTCTGTTGATAACCTTCTACCAACTCGGGTATAGAATAGTCTTTAATACAAATAATTAATTCATAATTTCTAAGCTTTAATATATTCTCCTTTTACATTCAGGCATCCCCACTTAAAGGCTTAGGTGCAGCAAGTAAAGCAAATACCGCTGCAGTTCGAAAGCGTAATTGGGCTCATGATATTGATGTCAATATTGAATTATCGAACTTTGAAGAGCTGGTTCCAGAAATGGCTTTTAATGTTAATATACCAATTTGTTGTTGAATTGTATTGAAATTTTTAAATAGCAAACTTTTAACTTTGACTTGTATTTCAAATGATAGTATCCGTTTGAATTAGATACATTTCAAAAACAAGCAATTTATCATTTAGAAAGTGGTTGTTCCATCTTTGTAGCTGCCCATACTTCAGCCGGTAAAACAGCGATTGCTGAATATGCTATAGCTTTATCTGCTAAACATATGACGCGGTATGTTATTTTTCCAACGCATTAATCACAAAAATAATTTTCCCATTACTGAGACATTACGTCTCTTTTTCTTTAGAGCTATATATACGTCTCCGATAAAAGCTCTTTCTAATCAAAAATATGGAGAATTTAAGAAAAATTTTGAAGTTGGTATACTGACAGGAGATGTACAAATCCATCCTGAATCTTCCTGTTTAATTATGACAACAGAGATTTTAAGATCAATGTTATATAAAGGAGCTGATCTAATTAGAGATGTCGAATTTGTTATATTTGATGAAGTTCATTATGTTAATGATTCGGAGGCAAGTTGTTTAATTTCACTATGAAAAGTATTCTTGTCGAGTTTTATTAATGCGTTTGACTATTATAGCGTGGTGTTGTGTGGGAGGAAGTTATTATTATGTTACCCGCTCATGTAAATCTTATTCTTTTATCGGCTACTGTACCGAATACCAAAGAATTTGCTGATTGGGTTGGGTATGAAATTTCTTTTCTTGAAAGAATTTTAAATTATCAGGTTTAATAATATGACTATGATAATCATCATTATTATTTCTTAACAAAAAAAAAGGCGAACAAAGAAGAAAGATATTTACGTGATTAACACACCGAAACGTCCAGTGCCACTTGAGCATTACATATATGCTAATAAAGAAATTCATAAAATTGTCGATGAAAATAGCAAATTCCTAGAACAAGGGTATCAAGAGTATGCAGTCATGTCACATCCTTTAATTTAATTCAGAAATGTTATTTTTAAATATGATTGATTTATACCTTTGATTATAATAACTATAATAGGTGGAAGAAAGCTTATGATCCAGCAAAGAAAGATATGGGACTAAAAGGCAATACTCGTGGAGGACGTGGAGGGCGTGGAGGACGTGGAAGCGGAACACGAAGCCGTGGTGAAAACAATCATAGAGGCGGTGGAGGTGGTGGTGGTGGAAGTTCTAGAACGATTATTCAAGTATTTATTTCCTGATTTTTTTGTTTGCAATGTTCTATAAAATGTCAATCTCTTAAAAAAAATGTTTGTTTTAATTAAATATAGGATAAACCTTTATGGATTGATCTTGTTAGATTATTGAAAAAAAAAGATTATTTGCCAGTAATAAATTTCGTTTTTTCAAAAAATAGATGTAATTTGTTAGCGGAACTTCTTAGTAGTTTGGATCTTTGTAATGCTGCTGAGCAAAGTAAAATTTGTATTACTATCGAGAATAGTTTGAAGCGACTAAATGGTAAATTTAAGCTAAGTTATTGCAGATATAATTTGAAATTTTCGTGGAAATATAATTTTGTTAAAAACTGATTGAATTACCTCTTTTAATTTTAGGAACTAATAAGGATTTGTCTCAAGTGTTGAAAATGAAAAGTTGGTTGAAACGAGGCATTGCTGTGCATCATAGTGGATTACTTCCAATAATTAAAGAGGTTAGTAATTGACATTCTTGATTATCAATAGTTCTAATAGATTAATAGAAAACCTCTCTTTATATTTAAATAGATGGTAGAAAAGTTATTTAAAGATGGACTCGTTAAAGTTCTCTTTGCTACAGAAACTTTTGCTATGGTAATTTGAATTCCTTTTCCATAATTTTTTTTCATCGTAAAAAAAGTTTATTTATTTGCCTCATATTTTAATTTGTAGGGTGTAAATATGCCAGCACGTACAGTTGTCTTTTCTGGTATAAAAAAACATGATAGAGAAGGTCTTCGTGAATTAAATCCAGGAGAATATACACAAATGTCTGGACGTGCCGGAAGACGTAATAAAGATCATACTGGAGTTGTTATTATTCTTCCTGACCGTCGCGATAAAATTCCCGAAGTGTGTTGAAAAGTCATTTAACCAAATTTATTCTTTAACAAACCAATAATATTTTGAAATTCTTTTTTTATTTAAGGTATCATCGCTTAAAAATATGATATTGGGAAAACCTACGAAATTGGAATCACAATTTCGTCTTACTTATAATATGATACTTAATTTATTGCGTGTTAGAGCTTTACGTGTTGAAGAGATGATCAAGCGAAGTTTTTCCGAGAATGCAAGTCAGAAAATATTACCAGACCAACAGGAAGAGTTTATGAAGGTAATAGCGATTATTCTTTGTTATCTTCTTAAATCACTATGAGAAATATTTGTATTGATTTACGCAAATCCATTATGAACATATAGAATGAAAAATCTTTTAGTGAATTAAAAAAACTTGATTGTACTATATGTAATCGTGATATCAATGAATATTATGATGCCTCGACAACTATTGCAAAAATTAATCACCATCTTTTAGAAAAAATTATTATTAATCCTTTAGGACTTAAAGTATTAAGTCCGGGAAGAGTAATTGTTATTAATAGCGGTGTAAGTAATAATTGTATTCACAAAATTTTATCTTTTACCGTAAATTTTACGTGAATAATAACTTTATGATTTAGTCTTATAGGAATGTAGCAGCTGTTATATTGAAATCCGCACCAGCAGGTCCTAAAATTGACAAATCATTTTGGGTCTTTATGCTCTTAGATGAAAATACAATTCAATCCGAACGAGGTTAGTCAAGTAATTTCCAAAAGGATTAATTTAAATAAACGATTGTTAACAATCGAGTATGATTTTGATAGAAGGTTTAGCGCCACTTCCCGTTACAAGACTATCTATTCCTAATCCAAGTTCTTGTACATACAAAATTGAATACCTTACTTATAAAAATATTGGTTTTATAACAAACTACATAATTAATGTACGTGAAGAATAGATATTTATTTAATATTAATTGTCGCATTTTATTAGATTAACGATTTTTTTTTTTTTAGTTTGATATTTACGCTATAATGGAACAGAATGATCAACATGAAATTTCTAATTTGATGCAAGAATTGCTGCGATATGCAACACAAAATAGTAAGAGAGAAAATCTGTTCTATAAATTTCTTGTTTGTGTTTACCGAAATTTTTTTTTACTGTAGGAATTAATGAATATGACTGGTCAAAGATAAAAGAGTACAATTTTCAACTTGAATTGATAAAGAAAAACAAATTAATGAATGAATTGAATTCATTTCACTGTATAATATGTCCAGATTTAATCGAACATGTAAAGTATTATGTTTAAACTTTGTATTATTTCTAAAATTTATTTGATTAATTTCGACTATCGACTATTTTAGTACGGACATATACATGGAGAGCGTGAGCTTAAAGCAAGAATTGACGATCTAAAACATACAATATCGGATCAAAATCTTGAATTATTACCAGATTATGAACAAAAGATTGAAGTATTAAAGAGATTAAAGTATATTGATCCGAATGGTACATTACAATTGAAAGGCCATGTCGCTTGTGAAGTAAGTTAATAATCATACTAACAATTTATTACCTTTTTTTTCGGAAGAATCAATTATATTAACTTTAATTATAGATCAATTCAGCTGATGAATTGGTTCTTACCGAATTAATTCTTGAAAATGAATTTAAAGAATATGAACCAGAAGAAATTGTTGCTTTGTTGTCATGCTTCGTATTTCAAGAGAAACGTTTTTGTGATCCAAATCTTACAACAAAATTAATGGAAGTATGTATTATACATAGTCGAGACGTCATTTTATGAATACTAATATCTCTTAATAAAATATTATTTTAGGGAGTAGAAACTATAAAGAAATTTGAAAAAAACATTGCTAAAGAATGTGATCTTAATGAAGATGATATAAAAATTAACATTGGATTAGTTGAAGTCGTTTATGAATGGGCTAAAAAAGAAATGGTAATTAATAACAATTATCACCATTATCTTTAAATAAATATTCCTTATCTTCATATTTATATTTATTTATTCCTTAGGATTTTAAAGACATTACCGAATTAACTGATGTATTAGAAGGGTCAATCGTAAGATGTATTACAAGATTAGATGAAACTTGTAGAGAAGTTATAAATGCAGCTAGAATGATCGGTGATTCTTCTTTATCTAAAAAAATGAAAGAAGCTCAGTCATCTATTAAACGTGATATTATAACTACTAAAAGTTTGGTAAGTTATAAGAATATATTTTTTTTTTTTGCTTTTCTTAGTTTAATAATAATTTTTTCTTTTTTATAGTATTTATAAACTTTAAGAAAGATTATAATAATATGAAATTTAATAATAAAAATTTTAATTTAAAAGAATTTGATTAATAATTTTAAATTATAAGATTGATTGTAAAATGATTTTTATGAATTAGTAATTATAATTATAAAAATCTAAAATATATCATTGTATTTTGTGAATTTTTTTTTAATATATGATAGTTTTGCAAAATCTTTAACAAAAACAGAAAATATAAAAATTTTTATCTAATGAGCATATCATTTTTTTTTGCATATTTGAATTTGATGCAATAGTACATCTTAAACTTTATTAACAAAACAAGTAAAGTAATAAAATTACATAGAAGTTTATGTAAAATAAAAGATATTAACTCTAAAAAATAATAAAATTAAACTAAATTTAATCAGATAGGAGCGTTTCCAGTAAAATCACATTACGGATCATATGATTTACTATGCCTCATGACTTGATTTTACTGGAAACGTTCCCAGATAATATTTGATAATTTCATCAGGGTTCAAATGTAAGATTTTAACAAAATATTATCATTGCCAAAAAAATGAGTTATTATTACTCACAAAGAATATTATAGCAGCTGAAAATATATTGGTCAATTAAAGTATTTCAGTTAGAATATTTATCATCTATAAGTTGAAGTGAAGAATATCAATATTATATAAATTAATGGTAAATAATCTATTATATTGGAATGAAAACTAGTGGAATTTAATACCTAAACTTTTTTTTTTTTTAACAATAACTAATAAACATCTTGAAATTCAAATATTCTAGTATAAATATTATTTAATAATATAGAAAGTAAAAGTGAAAAAAAATTTTTTTTTTATATTATGTGATAATATATACTTGATAGGATAATAAACGAAAAATATAACCTTTGATTAAATTAAAAAAAGTAAATTCAATATGTGAGAAAGAAATATTTCAATATAATAAAGAAAAAATGTTATTATAAATAATTTTATTTAGACTTGTGAAAGAAAGTTTAGAGCATTTTTTGAGAAGTAAAAAAAAAAAGATAAATAAGTAACTACAGTCATACCTTGATATAGTGAATTCTTGAAATAATGAATTTTTAAAACAAATATATTAAAATTACTTTACTATAGTGAACTAGCCAATTAAATTCTTTAAAAAATTCGTTATAAGCTTATAACAAAGTTGATATCATGATCGTAGAATTCGTTATATCAAGAGTTCACTGTATAATTATTAATTTTGTTTTTTTTAATAATAGATATGTATAGTTATAAATAGTTAAATATTTCTAATTTTTGATTACATGTATAACATAAATATAAATTATGGTAAAGAAAGAGATTTCATAGTTGTAGGATTTGAAATGTAAGAAGTTATTTGAGAATGAATTTAAGATATCAAGACTTATGATAAAAAAAGTTAAAGTTAATAACAGAAATAGGTTTATTATTAGAAATATGTGAGAATGTATTTGGCTAATTAATATTAATTTTTTGATATTTGATATTTCTATTTATTAAATAAAATGATGTAAATAATATTGAATTGAAATGTTATCAACCAAAATATTATGTGTTATTTGAATAAGCTAAGATTTTTTATAGATTAAGTATAATATGGTTAGAAAAACAATATCTATCAAAATCAACTATAAGAAAAATTATTTAATTTGAATAATTCTTGTAGATATAATAGTAAATTATTATTAGTATAAATATAATTATATGTTAAAATAATTATGAAATTATCTTTAAAAATGTTAATGATTAATAAAGTAATAATAAATTCTATATAATTGAAAGAAAGTCAAGAATAATTAAATAAAGATTAAAAAAAATAGAAAAGTCATCTTTTAGTCATTAAGTCATGCTTATAGATTATTAAATATTAAAATAGATTTATGTAAAATAAATTGATAATCAATAATAATACATCAAATTGTATATCAGGTTTGATATATTTGAAGAATAAGAAAAATACTGGGATATTTTGATAAGAAGAAGGTAGTGTAAGAAAAGCAGAAGTATTTGATATATTTAATGACATATAATAGAATTTGACTTATTCTTTAATAAGAAATATTAAACAATTGATATTAGAAAAATCCAAATAACTATTTTTAATTATCTTTGAAAGGAAGATTAGAATGTCAAAATAATATTTATTAGTATAAGTTAAAGATGCCTTGCTAAACTATTTTTAAAAAATTTGAGTTTTGAAAATATTTAAGATAAAACTATTTGTTTGTAATAAATATCTTTACTTAAACTTTTAATAGGATTTCCTAAACTCAATTAAGTTTTATCAAGTTTAAGATTTAAAAAAAGTCATTTAAAAGTTTCAAAATAGTTTCTCAATTTTTAAGCTACACGTAAAAATAAGTTTTGAATAGCATCATTAGTATAAGTAGTAGTAAAAAAAACACATTTAGAAAATGTAAAAATTAAACAAATAGTATTTTTCATATAGTGAATATTGATTATTAAAATTGAGATTTTAATTACATTTTAATTTTTATTACATTTAGATTAAAATGTAATAAAATATTAATTTCAATTAAAAATTTTCTAAAAGTTGATTTTCTTAGATCATAATATATATAGTTTGTTGATTTTTATTATTTCAAATGGAAAATTCACTTAAATGATTTGTTATTAAGTTTAAAGAGGAAAAAGGTAATACAAAGAGATCTTTCTAAATGCATTCCCCTAGGACTGAGCTTGAGTATGTATTTAAGAAGGGTATGTATTCCCTATAAGAAATCGAAATAAAGAAATGATACGTTTTTTATAAGGTTTGTATACGTAATTAATGATTCTATATCAAAATTTCGTATGTTTTATAATGATTTATTTTTTTATAATTTTTTAAAAAATTAATGTATACAGAATTATTAAGGAATTTAAAA